GGTTCAGGGGTCAGAGAGGAGGGGGAGGGGAGCAAGTCCCAGGAGGGCTGAGGGGAGTGAAAAGGGGAGAAGCCAGGACAGCAGAGGGTGAGGGGCAGCAGGCACTGGGAAAGCCATGGAGTGAGTGGAGGGTGGGAAACTTGGCAGCAGAAGGGAAAAGGGAGAGGTTTATAACTTGGGTGCCACATCTGAACAAGCGCACATGAACTCAGTACTGGTGCACAGAACAAAACTCACTTCTCTCATGGATGGGAAATCTTAGAGGGAACACTAGTCAGATGTATTGGAATATACCCATAGTGCAATAAACACAGCTGGGTTTATTCACCAGTTTCCATTGTGATATCAACAGGACATCTGCTTTCATTGTCAGTGTGAAGGTACATATGATGCATGACCACAGTATCTCTCACTTTCAATAGATTTCTGGTGGGGTTCTTCACCATTTACGCGAAACACAGCTGTGTTTCGGCCAGTATGCACATGTTTCTTGGAATGACATGAAGTAGCTGTAGGAAGGAAAGTGCTATACACATGCTCAGTACAGCAACTGCAATTACTCTGAGCTTCTTTCCAAACCTAACTTCTTCCTGCTCTGCAGCATGTGCCTGCAGTATCAAGGTCAAAAGAGTAAGCTTGACAATAAAGCCAGTTGAGTTGTGTGTGCACAACTCCTTTATTTTAAAAAAGGATAAAACTTTTTCCCCAGGGTTGCATAGTTCAACTGCCTCAGACTTTGCAAAGGAGAAGAAGTTTACTCCACTTTAAAGAACAATTGGTCAAATTTTGTTTCTAGTTACACTGATATAAATGCAGACTTAACCCTCTCCTTTTCAGCTACTACACGGGGTCCATCCATGTGTCACACCTACAGAATAGTTTTTCTGCATTCAGGTATGTGTCTTTAACTATAGAAAGATCTATAGAATGGTATGGCTGACTCTTTAGAACAGGGGTGGGCAATCATTTTTGACCAGGGGCCACTTCAGAATTTTTTTGGTGGCCTTGGGCTGCTCCAGAAGGGGCGGGACCTCAGGCAGAAGGGGCAGGGCCCAGGACACTTCCGTGCTTCCCCACCCACAGACCTTGATTGGTCTAAGGATGGAGGAGCATGTGAAGTCTTTGTCTCTGCCCCCCACCAGAGAGAACAGAACAGCTGGCCATTCCCTCTAGGTGCCTATGCCCCTGGAGGTCAGAGGAGACTGTGTGCTCTCCCCTAACCCCAGGTCAATCAGGACCTGGGGATGGGGGAAGCATCCAAAGTCTGCCTCCGCCCTGCAAGGGAGTGCCACACTTAAGAGTCACCTGCCAACTGAACAGATGACCAGGCCTGAGTGGCCTGGTGGTGGGGGGAGGGGAAGAACAAGACACGAAGTCTCTTGCTTCCTGCCCTCTGGCGTGCAGTGCTTAGGGTCTACCCTGGGAGGAAGCAGCAGGACCTCCATGGGCCAGATCAACCCCAGAGGCCCTTTTGCCCACCCCTGCTTTAGAATGAGGCAGAATTTCACAAGGCCAGGAAGAGAGAACAAAAAAGACTAGTAGGAATGGTATCACCCTTTGAATTCCAAGACTCAAACTTTTATCACATTGCAAAGGCCAGATACTAAAGATAGAGCAGGTAATGGGACACATTGCTTTGTGAAATTATAACATCACATAAATGCAACTTTCAGGCCAAATGAGAGACACATTAAAAACAAGTCATGAAGCTGGGTACACCTTCTGTTAGGCTTCTGTGTAATTAGCAGATGTTCAACATAACTGATCCTTGTAGTTATTGCAAATCATTTCCAGAAAGGTATGTGATTTCATTCACAAGCTGCAGGTTATTTTTAACAAGACAACTTATTTGTAAATGAATCAAGTCTTGAGACACTAGTTTTGAAGTTGAACAGCAGAGGTAGCATTTTATTTTTGAAGTATCTTCTTTGACGACACCAAATAGTGTGTAAAATGTCACTTTATAACAACATTGCAAACAAGAAACCTGCCACAAAGTATTACAGAGCAGCATCCAAACCCCAGAAAGTCATTAACAAGAGAGCTAAAGTGCTTGAGGTCATTAACTGCCTATCCTGAATCAATCTTCCCTGTATAAAATACAATGCTATTTTTAAATAGTACTTTGCTGACTGCATAAACATTCCTGCAATCTTTATGGAGTGATACTGGGTGGACCAGATCCACCAGTGTTGTATGGAGTTAGAAATAGTATCTCTCTTTCCACCCTCCTACTAAAAACATAAATAAATAAAAAAAAAAAGTCAAAGAACTAAGTGTGGAATTCAGACAGCTGAGGCTGAAGTTGCTAGTATAGCCCACAGCTGAATGGGGCCTAGGTAGGGTTTATAAAGTGCCAACATTTATATGCTATACCTGACTCAAAGTATGAATTTAAAAACAAATTTTGAAATAAGACAGACTGACTTTCGTGGATGATGGACCCAGACAGACACCATGCTGGTGTCCATAAAGATAGAGCAACTAAAAAAATTAATGAAGCTGTGGTAAAACTTAACATCCTGTAAAAAGAAAAAAACCTCACCAAACTCCTTCAGCAGTTCAGAAGGAGGCTCTGCCAGTGAGCTCCTGGGTTACTGCAGTGAAGCTAACAAAAGCCCTACATGGTAATATTTTAGACCAGAGCTTGAGCTTGCGGACACTGTGCAGAACTCTCATAGATTTGAATAAGAATTCTGAGTTTAGGGGCTGATCCAATTCCCATTGAGGCCCATGGGAGTCTTTTCATTTACCTCACTGAATGTGGGATTGGCACCATAGAGTGACTACAGGATCAAGATCTTACTTGATGTTCAATGTCTTCCTGTGAGTTTACAAAACTCCCTCCTGAGGTTGGTTAAGGGTTTAGGGTTCGCTCTCTCCAGGCATGCATGTAACACCCATTACAATTAACAGCAGTTAAACAGGCATATCAGTGGGGAAACAGACCCTAATCAACTGCTTTGGGAATTGCTGACTTAAGAAACCCAGGAGAAACATCAGCAATTGCTAAAGATCAACCTGCCCTTAATAAATTGAGTCCATTGTGTCCCTATTTTACCCGTCTGCCTACTGGAAGCTTAGTGTGCGTGGTAGCAAACAGGCCTTGTTCTACAGTAATATGTGCGAATCTGCACTAGAGCAGACCTCTGTTTCAACATCTTGGCAAGGATCCTACAGGGGGAACCCTTTGTGCTCTCTCACTGGTGAGCTAAAAGGTTGTAACCATCCTGTCTTAATCCAGAGAGCACATCACAACCGGACCTCTTCATCCAATCCTCTGAGTGTCTTCATCGAATCTCCCCAGGGAGCAGCCAAGCTAGTCTCCTGATGACATCCGTCCCCTGTGCCAGTTTCAAGCCCGAGGATCTGTCTCTGCACCAGCCTGGAATAAAGGCCTCCTTCTTCCAGGAGCTCCTTGTGCATCCCCTGCTGCACCACACAGCCCTTGTCTAAAACAATAATGTTGTGTGCCTTCTCAACAGTGCTCAGCCTGTGGGCTATGACAAGCACAGTGTGGTTCTGCAAGTCACCATAAATTGCTTGCTGAATCTGTTTGGGAGTGGGGGAAGGGAAGAGATTAACATGCAAGTGTCACTGTTAACCATGGGAGGTTATTTGCAATAAAAGATTTATTCTCCTTTGGATACACAGATGATCTAGGAACAGTCCCATTAGTACCAATGGGAAATAGGAATGAATGCCACTTCCCTGGATGGACTACTTATCCTTAAATACTCCCTCAAATCACTCAAAATGTGGCTGACAAATCCCATCCGTGCAATAAGCAGCCGCTAATGCAGCCACTACCCAGTCTGGTGGGTCTAGCGATTACAACCCAGATCTTACAAGGTGAACTCTCATTAGACTGGGCAGTGAATTCAGAAGCTTCTCTAGTTGCAGGTGGATAAAATAATCTTGCACCTAGTAAATGCAGTGATTTGGATAAATGGGTATATTCATTGGCTGGGCATCAATAAAGGCAGCATCACAAAAACCTGAAATTTGTATTAACATAGTAAGGCAGACATAGTAATGGGAGGGGTGGTACAAGGGAAAGCAGAGGCAGGGGGCTGCCTTTGGCTCTGCACCTAGGGCACTGGGGGGAGGGGGAAGTTGCTCCAGGCCCCATGGACCCCTAGAGGCAGCCCTGGCATGGTTTTAGGGGGCACTGTGGCAGCCAGATGTCACATCAGACTAGACAAAGGCTCTGACTGCTCACTATCACAGAAGGCTCCCTGAGTATTTTTGGCAAGAGTGGAGGAGCTCATTCAGGTATCCCAACTATGATACAATTCAGGCAATTCTGCCCCTTTCTGCAGTTTCACCAAGATACAGATTTTTCTACAACCTGCCCCAAGCTGCTGTGTAGTGTTGCTGTGCATGGTTTAACTTCTTCAGGCAATCATATTTGTATCTAACCTAAATCCATCAATCTGGTGTGTTACAGATGCTGGATCATTCCCTCTGTGATGGTTGTCATGTTATGTTTGAAAGAAGACAAAATCAGAAATTAGTTCCTAATTATCACCCGCTCATACACCGACTGCCAGATGTTATGAAAGCAACACATCATGTCCAGACTATGCAGACCTACCATCTAGAAACTGTAACTCAGGTCTCCCCACATCTGTATTCCAAGTTCTCTTTTGCCTGTAATAAACGAAATTAGTCCTACTAACCACATGCTCACTCTCTGCATCCAGGGCACTTGTGGCTTCATCTAGGATTAGGACTGGAGGAGCTCGGATCAGAGCCCTTGCAATAGCCACTCTCTGCTTTTGGCCACCAGACAGCTGGGCTCCTTTTTCACCAGCTTCTGTTGGATGAAAGGAGGCGGAGGAAAACAAGACAAGAGTCAACATGCATCACTGGATACAGATTTCTTTTGGAACACCACTGAGACATAAGACAATGGAATTATCCCCAGGGGGACTAAACAGCAGAGAGATTCATAGATTCCAAGGTCAGAAGGGACTACTGTGGTCATCTAGTCCAATCACAGGACAGAGAACTTTCCCAAAGTAACTCCTAGAGCAGGTCTTTTAGTAAAAACATCTTGCTTAAAAAATCCTGAGTGATGCAGAATCCATCATGGCCCTTGATAAACTGTTCCCATGGTTAATTACTCTAGGGCTAAGTGACTTGCCCAAGGCGATATAGGAATCCTGTGGCAGAGCAGAAAATGGAACCAAAATCTCCCAAACCCTAGGCTGGTGCCCTAATGCTTATTATCCCTAAGCTGAAATGGAACGGTAGGGGAAAAAAACTTCACTCAATCTCTTTGGCCTGACTGGAAACATGAATGGTTAACCGATTAATTGGTAGGAGCTGGAGCAGCTCCCCACCCACACAGGCAAGAGGCTGCTCCAGCAGGCTGGAGTAGCCCTTGTCCACAGTAGGGGGCGGGGGTTGCTCAACTCTGTCTGCAGGAGGTGGGAGGGGCACTCCAGCTCAGCTGGGCTGGAACAACCCCCTCCCACCTCCTCTTTAATCAGTTAACTGGTTAAACATTCTGTTTAACCAGTTAATCAATTAAATGAGATTTCACATACCTAGGCCTGACCTTGTTCAGTCCTTGGCTCCTCTTCCCAGACTGCAAACAGGGGCAATAAGGGTACATTTACACAGTGAATGGCCGTGTGTCCTTGGAGCCCAGGATGACACAGTCAGACTCACAGCACTTGCACTACCCTGCTAAAAATAACTGTGCTGACATTGCATTGGAGCTCACACTCTGAAGCCCGTTCCTCCTCCCTTGGCTTCAGAGCCCATGTTCCAGCCTGAGGGGCGACCATAACACAGCTATTTTCAGTGCAGTAGCATGAGTCCTGGAAGCTTGTCTATCAGCCCTGGCAGGGGGGCTCACAGCCAGAGGCTGCATAGCAGTACCCTCACATCAATCACTGGGGCGGGGGCGGGGAGAGAGGAACGGGACTCATATAGATAATATAGCCCTGGAAACTGAACTGTGTTCCACCAGTCACAAAAATCACCAAATTGCTTGATGGAGAAATAAGAGTCCAGGGTTTTTTAGCTGATTTCCCTCCCTCACTTGCAGAATATTTATTAAAATGGTTTGGATACAGATCAACTTTCCCTGTTGGATATTTTGTATAATTTCCCCTCCTTTGGTACAAGAAGAGAGGAGAGTTTTAGTCTGGCAGCAGCTATTTATTCTAACTGTGGCCTACTCTGAAATGCTGGGCTCCTCCGTAAGGACCTGTTCCAAAGCCCGCTGAACTCAGTGGGAGTCTTTCAGGCCCTAAAATAACTCTGTGCCCCTACAATAGTCATTCCCTTAAAGGAATGCTTGGCCGCTCTATGAAGCACTAGATCATCACAGCATTCATGGTGTTTAAGGGATTGACGTGTTACAGTGATTCCAAAAGTCCTTGCTCTTAGGCTGAGAAAGGCTACCCAAGACTGATAGAGCCATTATCCACAGTCTTCACTGACCAGTTCTTCAAAGGAAGCCACAGCATCAAAAGGCAGTGCTGCAGTAAGTGGCACTACTTCTGCATCTTTACATACACTGTCAGTAGCACTCTGTCCCCTGGAGACTCATTCTGAACAGCGAGGGGAAAAACTTTTCAGTAGCATCTTATAAACCATTACCCTCATTTGTCTCAATGCAAAATGCTTCTGTCACCAACACATCTTCTCTTGTTCCTCCAGAGTTAGTGTCATTTTATTGTTAAGTAGGAGCAGGTTGGCTTATGCCTCACTGCTCAGTTGTATTGCTATTGGGTTGCTAAGAGAATAAGCACATCGAAAAACTAAGAGGCTGTCATTGACATAGGGAGGGTGTTCCAGCCAGGACCAGGAGCTGAATGCACTGAGTTAGATCTAGAGCCCAACCCCATTCCCATAAAAAGCAGACGCAAACCCTCCCATAAGCCATGCAGATACAGGAGCAACAAAAGCAGAGAGCTGTGCATAAAGCCAAATCAGGTGCTACAGTCCTCCCTTGGAAAGATCATTTCCGTGGGAAGAAGACAGTTCAGTCTTCATCGCTCTTTTATTCCTTGGCTTCTCTGTGAGGTCTGTCAGTGAAGAAGTACCAATTAGTGATAATTGTGAGGAAGGTTTGTGTGAGGTCGACACTTACCCAAAAGGAAACCAGGCCTGAGACCAAATTAAGTTCACACCCAGTAAGCCATGGAACATAAAAATGGCCACACTAGGTTAGACCAATGGTTTACCTAGTCCAGTAGCCTGCTCAGGAGGACCGAAAGACTCGCCAGGCCACTGGGCAAGATGTGGAAGGGCCCAGTTCAATGCTCCCAGAAGGGGTGGGACCTTGGGCAGAAGGAATGGGGCTGGGAGCAACCAACCCTCAGCACTGCCATCCCTCCTCCCACCATCAGCCATCAGAGCTGCCCATAGCATGCCATGCTGCACAGTGCTCCAGCAATGATTTAAAGGGCTTGGAGCTTTGGGAGCCCCACATCCTTTTGAATTGCTGGGCTCCCGGGCAACTTCGATCAACCTTGTTGGCAGGTCTGAGCCTGCCAACAGTGGTCAATCTCAGATGCTTCAGCGGGAATGAACAGAACAGGGCAATTATTGAGTCCCCTGTTGGCCAGTCCCAACATCTAGTAGTCAGAGGCTTACCCATCTTGGCCAACAGCCATCAACTGCCACTGAGATTTGGTCAGGGCTAACATGGGCTGAATTTGATATCTTAACCTGAGAGGGCACCAGTATGTTACCACCAATCTCCAACACCAGAGATGGGCAATCATTTCTGAAGGGGGGCACTTCAAAAATTTTCAAAGTGGTCTGGGGCCATCTCAGAAGGGGGGGAGCCCTGGGCGGAAGGGGCAGGGCCTTTAAATATAAACAAGTGAAAGGGCTCATACCTCCCCTGAAGCTCCCAGGAAACGCAGCAGGGCCAGGAGCTGCAAGCCCTTTCAATTGATTCTATTTAAAGAGCTCGCACCTTAGCAGCTGCAGGGAAGGCATAAGCCCTTTAAATAAAAGCAGCTGTGGCTCACAGCTACCAACCCCCTTAACATGTTGCTTGGGAGCTGCCAGGGTGGCACAAGCCCTCTCAACTGCTTCTATTTAGCTTGCATCTTCCACACGGCTTCTAGGCAACTCATTAAGTGGTAGGGCCAAGAACTGCCACACAGGATGGATAAAAGAGCTGGACAGGCCGAATCCAGCCCACTGATAAGCTCTTGCCCAGACCTGTCCTACATGATCCAGTCTCCAAGAAGTGTTTTGGATACTTAAGGGCCATGTTTCTGCTGAAACTGGAGCAAATGAAATGGTCCCTGCTACCTGTATTGTAGCCATTTTGCAATTCTGTGATAAATGCATGTGCATTGGCCTTCTGAGCAGCTTGGACAATTGACTCGAACGAGACTGACGTTAAACCATACGAAATATTTTCTGCAATGGATCGAGCAAACAACACTGGCTCTTGGCTCACCAAGGAGATCTGCAAAAGGAAGGGAAGAAGCAGTCAGAACCAAACCAGAGTGTGAGACGGTTTACAATAATTGATTGCAGTTGGTTTGTAAGTGCAGATGGCAGATTCCATCATTACACCTACACCCAACATGCCTAAACCAGAGAGGATTTCAGTGAGAGCTCTAATCACACGCTACTGTAGACTGCCTGTGTGAACATTGCAGCTGTTCCCTCAGGAGCTCTTAGATGACTCATGGCAGCTGCAGGGCATTCATCAGCCCTGAAGGCCCATTGTACCAGATGTACCTGGTATTTGAATGTGGTGAAGTGATTACAAACCACCTTCTGACTGAACCAAGAAATGAAACTGACAACACAGAAGGGAAATAACACCTTCTTGTGCTTTGTGGTTTCCCATCTGCTTGGAAGTGGAGAACAAAGATAATTCTAGACTGTTCTCTCAGCATATTATTCTATTAAGTGCTGCAGCAGTGGGCCAAATCCCAACAACTTCTATTAGTGATACAGCTGCATTATGGGTGCAACTATGCAGGACCAAAGCTGCCATTCCTTATAGCCCACCAGGTAGTCACAGGAAACCAATCCCAACACTAGCAACATGTAGCAATCAGACTGGAAAAAAGCCTCCAGCTCAGTCTATCTGGTTACCATGGTTAGGCATCATGAACACAGCATGGAGTATGCCATCAGTGCTGGCTGCAGCAACAGTCTAGCAACCAACACAATAAACTCAAGTCCCAAACCATTTATGTCAATTGAAGCATGAAGTCAATATAAAGAGTGCAGTGCACTGGTGGAGTCTCAGAATCAGACGGAGCCTGCTCAGCCCCACAGTCATATTGTGGACGTGTCATTTTTCAATCTCCACATCAAAAAGTTACAGAGCTGCCATTTTTTACTTCCTAAACAATGCCTTTTCCTTCCCGTCCTGAAAGCAACCTCTACAAACTGGAACATAAACCCCCATTTGTAAACCCTCTTAAATTTGCTCTTTTAAAATGTTCCAAACAATATCTCAGAAATTAACATGCAGAGCAACAACAAATATTAAAAGTATATACAACAAAGATTAACAACCTTATCTGTATTACTAACACCACCCCCAGATGATTTAAATGGAAAGGATTTTAAAAATTTACTAATTTCCTTTTCACCATTTATGCCACTTTTTTTTTTTTAAATCTTTAGTCATGCAAAAGTACCAGTCAATTTCTAATCCCTTATTTTCAGGTTCTCATGCAGAATCTTAATGTTGTGTATTCTGGGTTGTAACCACTCTGCAGAGGAATGTTTACTTGTGTAAGAAATTACACTTTCAGATTTCCAGAGTCATCTTGGACAAGTCACTTAACCTTTTTGTGTCTTGGCTTCTCTGATGAGGAACATATGCTTCACATGGACGTTGGAAGGTTTAATCAATTAATATTTCTAATGTGCCTGGAGCTTCTTCAATAGAAGGACCCAACATAAAGTATGTAAAAAGCCTGTTTTATACTGGAATATTTAAAAACAGCCAAACAATCATGGACACGGTTCTACTGGTGTTAGGCAGAGCTAATAAAAAACAAGGACAATATTAGGGTGAAAATTTTCTTGGGGGAGGGGAGAGAAAAAAAAGTGGATTCCTCCCTCTCTCCCCCCATCAAAACAAAAACAAAACAAAACAAAAACCCACCAGCTCTAGTGTCAGGCATCGTGGAAACGTTTTAGAAAGACCTAAATTATATTTTGAGCCCAAATTGGACCTGAGACCATTCTGTGAATGGTCTAAAGCCCTTTGGTCCAAACTATCAAATGTTTATCAGTAACTCGTACCACTGAGTGCAGGTATTTGTGATCATACATGTTAATAGGCTGCCCATCCAGCAGGACTTGCCCATCTTGAAGAGGGTAGAAATTCTCCAAAATATTGACACAGGAGCTCTTCCCACTGCCCGAAGGACCCACTAGTGCAGTCACTTTGCCAGGAGAGAGGGTGAAGGACACATTCTGTAACATAAAATGGGAGTGACAACCTGAGTATCCTGCCTTTAATAGCATCCATGCATCTGCTCTGCAAGAGAGTACACTAGAAAAAGCTGCTGAAACCAAGTGAAAACTGTGATCTGGCTTTTCTTTAGTGCTCCAGTCCTGCTACTGCTAGATTGGCTGCCATCAGCATCAATGCAAGATGAGCACTATGAGTGCCCACTAAACAATCTCCTAGTGCTCCATCAGTCATCATTTTTCCTCCTTACTCCTCTTCTCCCAGCCTCTCCCAAGCCCAACATCTTTTCTTCAGACCCTTCTGTTCCTATCCTAGGCACATCCAAAAGCAAGCACACTCCTTCCATCTCCTACCCTGGCGCAACATAACTTGGAAGTGGAGAGCAGCCAGTCTCTAGTCCCCAGTGGTGGCCACCTCATAAAAAGCACAACCCACTAGTGGCAGCTTTGTTGTTAGTCTCAATAGAGAAGCCAAGGGCTCAATGCACTAGATCTAGAGAGTCAGGGGGACTGAGGCACTCTGGCACCCGGGATGCTTTCTTTGCTGCCTGTGCACTATAGTTGTTCTATGGATCAGCCAACAAGGCTGTCAATCCTACAATACTGATACCAAGGTTCCCTCTAAGCTGCACAGCAGCAGGGCCCTGCAGCTCTTAGAGCCCTGCCCAGTCAGGGATTCAGGGCTCCACCCATGGAGCTGCCTGACAGGGGGAGAGGGCACTTCCCCCTCCGTGTGGAAGAAACACGTCCCCGCCCTACAAGTCCTCTCCCTACCTTCCGGAAGAGACTCACTGCTCTGTCCTCAGCAGGGAGCTGCTGCTGTCACTGAGGGAAAAGGACCCCTCCCCCAGCCAGGCAGTGCAATGCCTGGAGCCCTGGTTGGTCAGGGTTCATTAAACAGCTGCTGGACCGTACTGCAGCACAGCTTAGAGGGAACCTTAGCTGAGACTCATCGTCTGACCTCACCCCTGCCCTTTCTGATTTAACAGGCGGATCCTTTTTCAGGGCCCTCCCTCTACCAACCAGCCAACAACTTTCACTAGCTTGACATGAAACAGAACACGCCCGCAGCTACACAAACACTACATGGCAAATGGGCCGCTATACATATCCCTCCAGTATTACATATATAAACACTTAGAATCCAGCTAATTCTCCCAGACCAAACCATTACCCATATGTCCCACACATCTGAGAGCAGTACCTGGTTCATGGTCTGCCAAGCCATGACCTACAAACAGCCCTTCTGTCTCAATATTATACAGCTACAAAAGGATTTTGAGTAACTAAGCTCCTAAGTGGATTTTTCCAACTAGGCAAAATCATAGGCCTGAAAGACAGGAAAAACTGGGTGTGATGGAAGCAGGAAACAGAATCCATTTCTTCCCGGTACAGTGCATGTAAGGGGTGGGGAGGGATGTGACTCATCCCCACATGACCTTCCACTTGACTCCTCCCTGCCCCGAGCGCATGGCCCCCTTGCTCTTCCCATTATCCACCCCATGTTACCTGGGCAGTCACAGCTATCCTTATACTGGGCTGGAGACTTTGGAACTGCAGCAGTGAAAGGAGCAGAATGTGGTGCCGCCAGCAGCTCCTCAGGCATGGCTTTACTGCTCTCAACCCTGCCTCTAGCCCTGTCATACAGTTGCATCTCCTCCATCTGTACTGCAGCCCTGCCGGAGGGCAGTACAGCTTCACCGGAGGAGCAGCTGCTTTCTGCTCCTGTCCCTGCTGTGGTTCCTGGGAGAACTCTGCAGCTCAGGGCTCTCCTGGGAACTGTAGCAGAAAAAGGAGCAGAACATGGGGCTGTTAGCAATTCCACCGATATGGCTGTACTATCCTCCAGCAGGGCTGCTGCACAGATGGAGGAGCTCACAACCACCCCCCACATTCCTTCTGCTCCTTCTATGTATTTCTGATACAGTGTACCGGCTATACAGATCTTGCTAGTATGGTACACTGTACCCTAGTGCTACACTTGTGCTGCAGGCTGGCTGGAGTGAGTTTCACCATCCTAGCTGCTACCTCTCTCCCAGGCCCCTGCGGCGGTTGAACCTGCATTGTCCTGATCCAAAAGCCAGGTCAGAGAGGGAACCCAGCACACAGTCACTGCCAGGATCAACTCAATACAGGGGACAGGAGATGAACAATTGAGGGTATGGGAGACATGGGTTTCTGTTCTTATCCACTCCTTGTGTGTCCTCCTCCCTTCCCACATTCTTTCCTCTTGTCTAGCCTCTCCTTTGCCTTTTGTCTAATCAGAGTCTGGCTGAGTCAGCCACAACAACTCCACCTTTTACATCACCATGAGGAGTCTGTGACCAGACAGGCAGCTAAGTGGCAATGCCTCCAACAGGCCAATATTGATAAATGTTTGCCAGACCATGCGTGGTTGAGAAGACGGTGTGCTGGGCCTGCATCCCTCCAGCAGGCTGTAATAGTCAGTATCCAACTTGGGAGCTGCATTTTCTCTATGGGCTCTTCTCTTCTGTCCCTTTGTGCATGTGTGCTCGTGTCTCATTTAGTCTTCATGGGCACAAGAGTGGACTCCAATAACAGCAGCAGTAAGAGTTTCAAGCCACCTAAAAACTAGAATCTTCTCTCCCCCCCCCACATGGCAGTTAATAATAGTGGTAATATCCGCTGTCAGACAGGGGCTTCTCCTATACATAACTCTTTATATGGTAAGAGTAAGGAAAAGAGATAAGAATTTTATTGTAATAATTCTCATTTAATACTTGATATTTCAAATACCTTAACTGTTTTTTTAATTTCTCCTTCTGTGTTTTTAATAAAAAGCTTTACAAAACTTTAACAGTGATGGTTACAGTGTGAGTGGCCAACGATAATGTGACTACAAACTCTGGACCACACTTAATTAACCCTTGAATGTGAACAAGGGTTTTATTAACATAAGTATCCCTTGTTAGGTCCTACATGCCCTCTATTCTCTGGTGTTTTGTTTAGTCTGGTTTGAAAGGTCTCCAGGGATGGTGCTTCTGATATTTCCCTTGGAGGTTTTTAAGGAGTTAGACAAACGAGTTAGTCAGGGATGGTGTAGGTCCTGGACTAGATGGTCCACTGAGGTCCCTTCTAATCCTCCATGTCTACGACTGAGTGATTATGTTGCAGTCTGCAACTAATTAGTAATTGATCTGCTAGAAAAATGTGGCACTTAATCTATTGTAGGAGGCAACACTACCTACAGTGTTGTGTATTCAGGAACGGAACGCTGAACACAACATGCCAAGACCCTCACCTGTAGGACCTGTGTTGCAGACCTGGTAGAATAGGAAAAAGTAACATTTCTGAACTCCACTTTACCCTCCACATGGTCTGGGGCCAGAGTTCCATCATTTACCATTGTTGGCTTGCGATCTATAAACTCAAACACTTTCTCAGCAGCTCCTACTCCCTGCATTAATCCGCTGTAGACGGAGCCGACAGACTAAAGAGAAACACAAAACAGGCCTAGGTTACACATCTCCATGTGTCAGGAGTACAGATAAGATCCATTAGTAAATGGAAAAATAACAATCATTAAAAGACATAATTCTCTGGCAAATGAAATTAACATGCACTGCATAGTCATACACTGAATGGAAAGTGAATTCTCAGATGACAGGTCCACATCTAAACCCAAGTTCCCACGGAATACCATGAATGTTGTACTGTGTGCTCAGCTGCAAAAGGATGGGGCCAAGTGTGAAAGGGTCTTTCTCCCCTCCCACCAGTACCAGATATTGCTTTTGAGTGACCTCTGTGACAAAATGGGGGTGCTGTCTGCTCTGTAACCCGATGTTCCCCTGCGCTGTGATGTGTGATTCCCACTGACTCACCCACATGTGTATTGGCCCAGACACCCAGGCCTAGCATGAGCAGATAATACTGTTCTTCCCAGGGGGAGACACAAAGGAAGGGAGGCAGAGACGAACACCTGGCTGGGAAACATGAAGGGAACAGACTAAGCTGGGTGCTGAGGATTGAGGGGGGCAATGAACCCCCTAGCCCAAGGGATCTAAGGCTGCTTGGCCCTGATTCCTGTAACCACATCATGTCTATGCTGTGCTGTAACCTGGAGGAGCAATAAACCCTCTCTATTCTAATAGTTGGCGGAGTCTGTTCATGCTGCTACGGGGGTGCAAGATTGGGGGGTCCCCGATGCACCGTCACAACCTCTCTATGGCTGATGCTTGCAGCAGCACTGACAGCTGGTCTAAGATACACTGTATACACCTGCCATTTCAGGATATGGTCCAACATTCATTATGCAGACGTGTGTCATGGTGGAGTGATGGTTATGAACAGGGCCATCCTTATGACTTATGGAGCCCCATGGGGTACTATTAAACAGGTACCCCTATGTCCACCAGCAGCCCAGAGTAGAGAAGTAATTTTATAATCTTCAGCAAGACACTAATGAAATATTTTTAAAGCCAATTTTAAACTTCGGTCCTGTTGACTAACACAGGAAAAGGGAATGCAAGAAAGGGTGTCCCAGAAAACAAATACTCCAAACATAGATTGAAACCCTCCTGTCATTTTCTCTGTGACCAAGATAAGCCATGCCCATCACACATGGATTCTACAGCAACCCCTCCCCTGCTCTGAAATGCACGGGATCAATGCCCCAATAGAAACGTATTGCCCACTTCCACAGGAGAGGGGAATAAGGAAGAGAGGCAACTATGGGTGGGGAGGGGCAGACAGTGAGGCGCCTGGATGAGCTATGGGTGTCTATGCAGCAGACAGTGAGGTCGACTGGAGTAAAACATCCCTCAAAGCGTTGATACTCTTCAGCCTCCAGCACAGAGCTTCCTCCGCCCCCCTGTCTCAAAGCAGATTGTGCAAGAAGTAGCTCTTCCCCGTATCTCCCAGGAGGCGGCAAGCAGACTGAAAGCAGTGCTGGATCCTGCAGTTCTGAGAACAGATGGCAAGTGCTAAGTGTGCTGTTCTTCATTCCATGGGAGGCTCTGGTACCTAGGTGATCACACCCAGCTACGAGCAGCTTGGAGCTGATCATTTCTGCCCAGATTAGCTGAGCTAATGAGGTGAGACGACAGCAGACAGATGCAGGCTCTGCAATCCTTGGGCCCTCCTAGGCAGAATCCCATCTCGTTAATTCCCTGCCAATTTAGCAATTTATAGCCCATTAAAAAAAAAAAAAAAGACTCCCAACTAAGCTTTTAATGGACCCGGAAATGTAACAAGTGGCCTCCAAGTCCTTAAATCCTTTGCATAGGAAAGCTTGCCTGGAAGACATCCGAGATTCTGCCCTTCAAGCAATGGGCAGCTTTCTGCTCCACTTCCTGCAGTTGGGTGTCTCATCAACAAATGAGCTACTTGTATTATTTTTAAAAAACAAGGTGGTTCTCCCTACACTGAGCTGTTCGTTGAGCACTGCTGCCTTCTCAGCTTATCCACACACCAGTGGGCAAAGACACAGATCCCTTTTGAACTATGTCTTACAGAAATTACAGCCAGCTGCTAGGGTACCAGAGGAGCCAGAAAACTCTCAGGAACAACAAAAACACCCATAGCCAGATCCTTAGCTGGTGTAAATTAGCACATCTCTGTTGGAGTCTTTAGAGCAGATTCACACCAACTAGAGTCCCAGCTTCCTGTGTCATGGAGAGCCTGATTCTCAAGTTATTCAATGTGAGCTGTACCCAAATCTGCTCCTTCTGAATCAAAAGAGTTCTCTAAGCAGACAAGAGTGATCATGAACCAAACCACTTCCAGAATTAAATGCAAAACTAATTTCTACTGATGTCACTTTCCTTGACCAAACACCACCCCCCACAACAAAGTTGAGTGGGGGCAATAAAGAGTGTTGCATTGTTTCCATTTTAAATACTTTGGGAGGTAATCAAATATGACAATGATAGTGACTGAGAGAAATAAAATACTTCTACTTCCCCCCTCCTACAATTTCAAGCCTAGGGTGAGAAAAAAAATCCAATGCAGGGGTAAACCATACTCACCTCCATGCAATCTCCTAAGACAAATTCATAAATAATAAACGAGATCAAGTTTCCGCTGGTCATTTGCCCGGATATCACCAGATGGCCACCATAGTAAAGGATACTGACTTGTACCACAAGAAGAGTCAGCTGAAAAATCAAGCATAGACACACAGACATTGCTGGTGGCTTCTCTGGCTCATTCACACAGCTATCCAGAACGCACCAGTATAATCTTTATTACTATAATCCCAAAGGTGTACTTGAGGTTGTGCAATAGATGGTAAAGTCAAACCAGACACTACTGATATTGAAGGAATGAAGTAGAGGCTGAACATCGTCCGGGACTCTGGTTCAGCAACTGGACCATTGACGTTGCTGGACAAGAAAGCCCCAGTACAGAGGAGCCACTAGGGCTGCGAGCATCAGCAGGGTCGCCCAGCCTCACATGGGGCCATGGGGCCTACCACAGACAAGGGAGCCAGGGGCACCAATGCCAAGTAGCTGGGGAGAGAAGTCCAGTGTAAAAGCTGGATCCCTCTCCCCCCTTACATTTCCTGGTCCAGCAACTCTCTGGTTTGGAACTGGTCAGGTCCCAAGGGTGTTGAACCGGGGAGGTCCAACCTGTAGTTCAGAAGCATAAACTGATGTATGGGATTTTTGACTCATCTCTTTTTAATATTAATGGCAGATGTGTCTAATCCCATTTGGTTAATCTGAAAGGCTTAGCCATGAAGCATCTGATGCTCAGGAGGTGGTCAAAACAGTGAGAATTAAGTCACACTTAAAACTATAGAAGGGTTGAGGACACAGTTTGTCTCTGGATTATGCTACAGTTCAGGCTGGCGGCTGAATCTGTGCCAAGGTCTGGCCTGAACCACCCTCAATTCTCAAACATCTTCACAAGATACTGTTGGCATTTCAAAGCAGAAAACATGTCATTTCTGATTTAGGATCCAACCTGGAATCAGGATTCAAATCTGGGAATTCAATGCCAAATGATCTGCTCACCTCTTGAAATGTGACAGATTTGGGATTCAGGATTCTGGGCAGTGTTTAATTTGATTGGAATTGTACTGGAAGGGACAAAATGTGTCATGTCAGATATGGGGGGAAAAGAAATCTAGTAACTTTTAAACAGTTGATTTGTATGGAAAATTAAAAAGAGGTAACTGCTTTTAGGGATGAATATATGCAAAAAAAGCAGGCTAAAGAGATAGGCCTGCAACATACCTTTCAGATCCCAATCCAAAATTCCTCAACGATCACGGGTATTTGTATATGGAGTTTTGATGTGGACTCTAATTCAGTAGCATGTTTCTTCAAGCAAGGGAGTGTAATTGAAAGTTCTGATTCTGAAGAGCCCAAGCAATGGAAAGAAACATGAACTTGTAATGAAAGAATTAGCCTAGGGCTGGGGTGTTTAAGTTCAGTTCCTGACTGCCACAGACACCTTGTGTGACTACAGGTAAGTCCCTTCAATCTCCCTGAGACACAGTCTCCTGCCTTGTGCTCTGATGTTGTATTTCTTTCTCCCACCCTCTGCCTGGTCTATTTAGATTGCAAGTTCTCACTGTGTAAGTGGACAGTAGTGACTACAGCTGAAACTGGATCCTAGCGGGAACAGCTAGTTGTCACAGCGATGTTAATTCAACAACAAGAAATAATAGTTTGCAAATATCCCCTTAACCTCTCCGGGACCTGTGGTGGTTCAGCACCTCTCTGTCCCAAAATCAGTGTGGGAGACTCATAAATCATAAAAGTGTAGGTCAGCAAGGGACCTGGAGAGGTCATCTGGTCTAGTCCCCTGAATGCAAGGCAGAACAATGTAACATTTAAAACAAACAATTAACCTCAAACATGACTCATTTTAGAACAGATTTCCCTGACCAGATTAAATGCCCCATTTGGGTTTAAAGGGGAACATTTGAGCAGAGTTTTCACCTAGACAAAAAATGCTAACTTTTCACTCCAAACTGAAGATGCTAGGAAAAGTCCATTTTCTCTATGCCCATGGTAGGCAAAGATGATATTAAAATTGTTGGAATACAAGTAGAAGAAGCCAGAAGACCAGAAACCTGCCTGAATGTGGTTAAATAAAAATAAATAAATAAACAAATACCACTTAGGTGCATAGGCACAGCCAGCAGCAGTTTACATTTATGGCACAGATGAGAGGATGCACTAAATGGAAATTAACAAGACAGCAACAGACAACCCCCGCACGTGTCCGTAGGTTCACTATGCAGCATCCAGCAGCTATCGGTCTGTTTCAAGGGCACCTAAGGTCAACCCTGAAGTTCAGAATGTACAGGTAAAGTTCAGAGCAAACCTTGGCACTGGAGTGAGCATAGAGCTTTGCCTTGGAGCCTTATATGCTAAACTAAGTTATAAATCATAATGGAATGACTTGTGTCAATCCGGATTATGCGCCACCTGAGGCACGTTGCACATAGGATAAGAGAAGGAGTGCCAAAGCACACACAAGTGTTGCCACATAAAGCCTGATCCAACTCTTACTTGATGTCAAAGACAGTTTTACTGCACTAAAAATAAAAGGGCTTTGCATTTATATAATGCACTTCAACCAAGGTTCTCAAAGCACTTCAGGAAGGTAGGTAAGGCACAGCTCTTTCGTGACTGCCTAAAGTCATGTGAGTCGGTAGTAATGTTGAATATGGAACACAGGCATCCTGACTTATCTCCTACTCTTCCTCTGGCTAAGAGGTAAAAGATAGCCAGTGAAAACTGTTGACTACAAAGTCACAAATAAATCCTTTCTATAAGCCAAATCTAATGAAAACAAATTCCTCCTTTATTCATCTGCCAAAACTTTAGCTCAGGTCTTGGCATTTCCTGAGAAAGAGGTTATTAGAGCTGTGCTAAATTTGTCAGTTTCCTTTCAGACAGGTCCACAGGATCAGGTTTTCTTGACTGTCTTATCCAGCTGGGTTCATGGTGTGAGTTTCGCTTTGGATGACTTCAAAAACTCCCATTCAAAATGGTCTACTTTTGCATCACAACCACATGAAACTACAAATCTTACAGGATTTCGGCAGAATGCCATGAGTCACCCCAGAACTGGCTCACCTAGTTCACAATCCTTTCAACAAAAGAATTTAGTAAGATCAGATCAGTTTTATGTGAAGATTTTGCGCTAATTTGTTTAGTAGTAGAACCCCAGAAACCTAGGCTTGACTGGCAACAAAGCGCTTTTCAAAAGAGAAATTATAGTCAAAGATGTTTTACCCAGCATGTTGGGGAGAATAGGGGATGCCAGTAATGAAAAATGCTGATGAAGGAAGAGGGAGGGAATTTTGGTATGTTTCAGGGGAGGATTGGGGCATGGGAAGAGACTTAGGGTATTCACCTTAGGTGGCTCCACACAAGTGGGTGACCTGTCCTGGCTGCTTCTAAGTGGAAGCAAGGCAGGCAGTTCTGCATGCTGCCTCCGCTCTGAGCATTTGTTCTGCAGCTCCCATTGGCTAAGAACCATGGTCAATGGGAGCTATGGGGGTGTTCCTGTGGCCAGGGGCCGGGCGGACCTCCTCTAGGAGCAGGGGGGACAGGATGCCACTTGTGGGGAGCCACCCAAGCTGAGCACCCCCTGGATGTGGCACCCCAAACACCCTCCTGTGCCCCAACCACCTGCCCCAAGCTCCCTCCTGCATGCAAACTCCCTCCCAGAGCATGCACCCCACACCATCTGCTGTACCTTAACCTAATTCCCTGCATCGCTCTTGGACATTCCTCCGCCTATGAGTGGCAGGGACAAGTTGCCACTTCCAGGGAGTCACAGGGAGCTAGAGAGGGAGCTTCCCAGCCCCATGCCAACCAAATCACAAACCAGACTTTTTATGATGGTTAGAAATGGCGATTTATAGTGCTTTCCATTGGTACAGGGCTGGATAACACAGCTTCTCCTGTAGCTGAAAATGGCATTGTCAGTTTTTGAGCAGAAGATTAGCTCTCATAAAATTTGTTTTACAACTTCGGATACCACAAACAAGCTGGCTTAAGTGTGTAATGTGGTAACATGTGCACACGGTGTTTCGAATGCCCTTGACTGAGCTTAATTATAGTGCTACTTGCTGCAGGAAATTGCCTGTGGGATGACACTATTCAAAATCCTTAATAGAAATGTATCTTTGTTTGGAAAGTTAAAAATAAAGCACAGGGGACTGTTAGCAGACTTTAAAAGTCTGTATCTTTTGTTAAAACTGGTCGCTTGATACACCCCCAATCTTTTATGTACAATATATTACAACATTCATATAGCAGAGAATGAACAATGTCAGAATATAATCCCTTCCAGCCCTCAATATCATCCCAGTGACAATGAGTGGCTAATAGAAACAAGTCACATACCCCACTGGACCACACATAGTACGTATAGGCCCAGGCTTCCTTTTTGTTCAGTTTGTACACTTGCTGCAGCTTCTCCCAATACACATTTGCTTCCATATCCTCACTTGCAAAGCTGCGCACAGTTTTCATGGCTGAAATGGTTTCTTCTGCTGTATTGTTGGCCTTTGCCAAAGCACTCTGAACCGCCTTGGAGAGCTTCTGCAGTGAACAAATAGAAGGGTGGGAAAGCAGGATTCTATTTACCAGAGGGTGCAATTGCTTTGTTTCATTGTGCTCTGCCCCACCCAAAGAGCACACCACACACCTGACAGAAAGGGATTTGGAGATCATTGCTCATTTTACTGTCCCTTAGTCCCTAGACTGGTAAACTGGCCGAAAGGCCCATATCCATATCCTGCAGAGGGGTGGTGAGAGGATTAGGGATGTAAAAGTGCAGCCATGTAAATGGGGAGCCAATAATCTCATACTGTATCAGAGGCAGCAGTGTGGAGCAGCAGGCAGGAACTAGTATACATGGAAAGCCTGCTAAAAAGCCAGCTCTTGGGGAGCTGCCTGTTGCCACATGTTGATGCCTCTGAATCAGAGGCAGCAGTGCAGGGTGGCAGCCAGCTCCTGGGTGCACCGGCTTCTGGGGAATTGGCTGCTGCCCTGCATTTAACTGTGTAACTGCTGAAATTTTCAGCAGTTACACAGTGAACAAATTGCACTTTTAACATCCCCTAGTGAGGACAGGGCTGAGAACCAGCGTCCTAACACGGGGTTGGACAGATTTCTTCAGTGGCTCTGGGCCAAGCATGATGATTATTTGTGTATGGTGCTAGTGCTTAGAGGCTAAAGCCAAGATCTGAGCCCATTGTGCTGGTCACTGTGTACATACACATACAAACAAAGACAGTCCCTCACCCTCAGTGTTTACAGTGCAGCCACTCTCCGAGTTACGAACAAGTTACGGATCAACACTTGGTCTGTAATTCAAACTGTTTGTAACTCGTACCCCATTTAGTTACACGCGACCGCGCTGTTCGTAACTCGGGAACCGCCTTTACGACCGCTCCGTGGGAGATTTGGCCATAAGTGCGAACGGTCGTAACTCGACCGTTCGCAACTCGGGGAGCAGCTGTATAAACAGAGAAGACAGACAAAAGAAGGAAACAGGAGATGAAGTTATCCTCATGTTACAGAAGCACTGAGAGACTAAGTGACTTGTCCAAGGTAGCACAGGAAGCCTGTGGCAAAGCCAGGAAATGAATGCTAGTCTTTGTACTGCTGGGATCTGTAAGCACACTAGGACAGCCAGGAGGTGCCCCTTCAGGTCAAAGCCTCAGACTTAGGGCACAATCTGGTGCCTGTGCATATGCACACTCAGAACAGGCAACAACAATGTGCAAACTTCCCCTATTTGCCAATTATAAACTCCTAGAATAATCCTGGGGAGAGGGCACAGAATCCATTGTGGGGGGGAGGGAGGGCTGACCAGAATCTAGGCACGGAGCCTGTTTTTACAGCATGCACCTCCCACATGGGTGGCATTACGCACACAGGCAGGATTTGCCCCATGTCACTGACGTTGAGAGCAATGAAGCTGTAACAGCACAACGCACATCCTGTGGGCTGTTCTGATTCATGTCCTCCGCCCAGCGGAGGAATGGGCATCTTGTTTTGGAGAGAACTCTTGCCCAGGAGCCAGAGAGAGCAGTGCAATACAAGGCTGCTCAGGAACAATGAGGCTCAGCCAGGTGTGCACACACCCCAACCAGTATTACAGGTTACGACAACAGAGCTGGCAGGGCTGTAGACTCGAGGAGAAGAGCTAATAGATCACCCCAGCTCTTGCTCAGGTGTCAACATTGGATTCCTCCTTTCAGTACATTTTCTGTTGTTTTGTCCTGTCTTTTTCAAAGTGTCAAGCAAAGTTTTCACGGACTAACAGAACTCTGAAACAGAACTCACATTGAGACTAAAAAGCAACAGAGAAAGTGAAGGTCACGTAGTACTGTGTATTGCACACCACATGGGGGGAAGGGGAATGAATTAGACACACACACACGCACACACATACCCCCTCCCTATAAAGAATATATTCCTTTTATATCCTCATGATCTTTGGGCCATAGAGAAACCAGCATTCCATTAACTCTGCTAACAGAGAAATCCATCATCAAGACAGAAGGCCTTTTGACTGCTGAGCAAACATCTGTTTGTTTAGCCCTGTGAAAGGAGACCAATAGCACATGCAGGCAGTGCTTCCAGTAGGACAAGAAAAGCCCCTCAGGCCAAATTCAGAGTCTGGGGAGAACAGGTGTGACTGGGAGGAGCAGCATGATCCAGTTTGGGGAAGTGACTCATTCCAGGAAGAGGTGGGTGAGTGCCAGCCAGAATTAGACTGAGGGATCTGGGGGCTGCAAACAGCTAATGCGCATTGTGGGGATTTGTATTAACTTCTAGTTCTAACCCACTCTTTAAAATGCAGGGAGACATCTCTGCCTTGGTTATAGTCCCTGTCCTGGTGGAGCTCCAGCACCGACTACTGGCCACCAGGGGCCACCCAGGGAGAGGGAGAGGAGAGGGCATGCGCCCCCAAACACTGTAGATGGGAAGGGCAAGGGACCAGAGCCTCTGGGTGGCCGGGGGGACTAGTGGGAGGGCAGGGAGGAGGAAGCAGGCCTGGCACCTGGCACCCTCCGCACTGACCAGTGTTCCTTGTTCACTCTGCTCCTCTGGTTCCTGGTGTGTGTTCAAAGGGAAGGGGCGGGACCAGCTACTGAACTCACCGCAGAAAGCAGAGCAATGCAGCTGGGAGCTGGAGGAGCAGAGTGAGTTAGGACAATGTAGCTTTGCTTCCTTCTGCTGCTGCCAGTGAGTGGGAGAGAGGGGGAGGCCTGACCCCTGCTGCTGGTGCTAGGCCTCTGGCCATGCCAGTTCTCCAGGCTGCATCACTCTGGGGAAGGGGCTTGGAGAAAGAGCTGGGGTAGGGCAGGGGCAGGCAGGATAGGGCGGGAAGGAATCATGTGGGAGGATGGTCAGATGGCCTGTGTCCCTCTTCAGCAGTCGCCCCTTCAGACAGAGAGAGAAAACGGAACAAAGGACAGTAACTGGCCTGTAGAAATCTTGCAATGCAACAGAATCCTAAACAAGTTCTCACCACACACTTTGGAACCTATGTGTTTCTAGACCAGTGGTACATAGATGTGGCTTGGCAAGGATTCCTGTAAGCTGAGCACTTGGGGGCCAGCTGATTAGCAGTGCGCCCACAGCTCCCACAGCCAGCAGCCTGTGTTTCTAATGGTGATGCACATCCAAATATGCCTGAAGTGTGCATAACATTTATTCCACCCACAGAGGGGAAAAAAAAATAGAACATTGCTTGGGAGCCACATTTGCAACCCCCATTAACCAAAAGGGAAACATGACTAATGCATGCCCTTCATACAGGGGCAATGCATGGGAGGCATATGCACTCCCAAAGGCCGTGAGCAGGAGGCATAGGGTCAGGCTTTAGTGGGTGGCCTGGCTCTGGCAGCCAGGGATCGCCCCTGACTCATCAGCAGTAGTGGAGGAAAGTAGAGCGACATGGCTCTGACTTGCTCTGGTCCCCCAAGTCACGGGAAAGGGCAGGATCGCTCCTGCACTCATTGGTGGGAAGCAGAGCGATGTGGCTCGGAATGAGGGGAGCAGAATACACAGGCAAGTGGGGAGGGGGGGGAGAAGAGAGCTCAACCAATGTTCCCCTTTTCCATCTGTGTGCAGAATAATTTTTTCTGTGCACTGAGACATGTGCAAATGTGTACACCAAAAGAATCACAAAACCTAGCTGTGGGCACTCTGTTAATCAGTTGAGTGGCATTTGAATGACTCCTGAGCAGCCGCAGGAGCATGCAATTTACAGAGTAAACTGGGCCAACACCTGCTGCTGGCACCAGACTCTTGGCCCTGACGAAGGAGGCAACAGTCCCACTAGTTCTTTGAGCCACATCACTCAGGTGAGGGATGGGAAGAAGCCAGGGCAGGGGAAGGGCTGTCCCATTCCTCCCCCAGGGAGGAATATGTGATTCCCCTCCCGCATCAGTAGTTGCCCCTTCTTTACACACACACACTAAATATATTACTATAAATATAACCAAATATTCATAAAATGTTCAAATAAATGTTCAATACAACAAAAACTAGGTTTAGCTAACTTAATTCTTGCATGGGGGGTTCAGAATGTGGGAGGCTGGGGCAGAAGATTGGGGTATGGGAGGGCGTGAGGGCTCTGACTGGGGATGTGGCTGCTGGGCTGGGTTAGGAGGAGGGGGGATCCTGGTTTCAGCCATGGGATTTGGATAGAAAGAGGGGGCTGTGGGCAGGAGGCTGGTGTGGGTGTGCAAGGTCCTTGTCTACCGTGGCACCCTGCCACTTCTGAAAGCATCAGGCACCGGGAGGGGAGAAGACTGCAAGTGGCCCCACATGTTGCCCTTGCCTGCAGGCCCTGCCCCTGCAGCTCTCACGGGCCACACTTCCTGGCGAGCGGGAGTTGGGGTGGTGCCAGCAGGCGAGGGCATCATGTGGACAAAGTGCCAATTTCCCCTGATCATCACGCAGCTCCAGTCCAGCGGGGGGAAGGAAAGGGAGTGAAGAGGACTAGAGGGGGGAGAGGGAAGGAACACCATGCAGGAGTTTTAGTAGCTGTAGTCCAGCCCTGGGCTGCAGCCCCTAAAACCCCTGCATTTATCTGGCTCTGCTTTCTCCAGGAATGCTGTGAATCAGCTATTCACAGCTCTCAGGGTGGGAGCTTTAAAGAGCTGCAGGCTATATCACAAAGAGCCACACACAGCTTGCAAGACATGGACTAAGGATCCCTGTTCTCTAGACCAGGGGTTCTCAAACTTGTGATACCACAACCCCCACCCCAGTTGCTTGCGAGCCCCCGGGGGGTCGGGGCCCAAAGTTTGAGAAATGCTGCTCTAGACCAACAGTTCTCAACCTGCGGTCTGCAGACCCCTGGTCCTCTGCAACAGTACTGCAGGGGGTCAGTGGAAAATTAAAAAAAAAAATCCCTTTCCCCCTACTTTTATTTTCATTTCTTTCTCTTTCTGTACTTTTCTTTTTTTCTCTCTCAAAAAGGGGGAGGTCCACGAAATTTTAATAGATTGAAAAGGGATCTGTATGCTCGAAAAAGTTGGGAACCACTGTTCTAGACCGCTGTTTCTCAACCAGTGGTACGAGTACCCTTAGGGATACTTGAGAGAAGACTGGGGGTACGGGATGGGGGGGAGGGGAAGGAGTTAACTGAAATTTGGAGAAAACTGAATTTTTGTTTTAAGTTTTACAGCATTTTATTATTTTTGTATTTTTTATACCCCAAAGTTTTATCACATGCTTGGCTATGATTAAGTTGTTTAAACAAATGTGTTGCAATGGTAGAAAAAAATTGTACCCTCCCCTGCTACAGCATCCCTGATGCGCCTGGCCTCCTTCCACCCAGCCATCCTGACCCTTTGGAGCTGAAGCTGGTCTTAGGCACTTGAAAAGCAAGGGAGGGTTTGGGGTGGTGGGCTACCATCAGGCCTGCGGACGGCAGGAAGCAAAGGGGCCTGAGGTTCTGGCTGACACTGCCACAATAGCAGCAGCGGCAGGGCTTGGAGCCCTGGGTCCTTTAAAATCGCTGCAGAAGCGCCACTGCAGCACTGTGGGTGGCTCTTAGGGTTGGTTGGTGAGGCAGGGCTGCCACATGGCATGCTCCAAGCAGCACTGAGGGGTGA